GGAGTCAAAAAGACATCGATGTCGATGTCAATTTCGATCTCATTTCGAACCCACTTTTCGACATCGAATCGACGTCGGGTCGACAAATTGTTTCTCACTGGGTAGACGAGACGTCAACGTGTTCAAAGGAAATATCACGACCGACCAACATGCAAATGCCACACTCCGATTGCCAATCTATCTTTTCTAATAAGGCGAAAGTTTTTGAGAAAGAATTTTGAAGAAGGGTTGAGCAGAGACTCCTGAATGCAGATAATATCATAAGCGCTAGCAAAGCGCTGAATGTCAGGCATTCTTCCCCGCAGGCCTCTGCAGTTCCATGACAGGACCTTTAACTTACGTTTTCTAATAGAGCGATTACGAGGACATTGAGTATAGGCGAGAGGGTAGGGAGAGGGATGAAGGGGAGAGGAAAAAGAAGAGGGACGGGAACGGGAGAGAGGGGGGAGGACAGGGGAAAGGGGAGAGGAAGGAGGGGAAGGAGAAGGAGAAGGAGAAGCATCCGGAGGGGAAAGGGAAGGGGGTAGGAGAGGCGTGGGAAGGGAATGGGATGCGGGTAGAAAAAGGTGGGGAGAGGGGGAAGATAGGGAAAGGGACAGGGGGAGAAGCGGAGAGGGGGATTTTAGTATTGGTGAAAGCCATTTGCCCCATCCCAAGGGTGTGAGGCCTGCGGAGGATGCTGCTGAAAAAACATCTGTTACTGAGAGGAAGAGCTAGAAGAGTTAAAGAGGTTGAGCACCTGATTTAAGAAAGGCGAGATCATTTTGATGAGAGTTAGAATCTTGTTAATGAGAACCGTAAGATTGGGGTTACTTAACGCGCCGCATGATCCAAGTAGGTCCAGCAGAGTTTCGAAAAAACCAGAGCCGCCAGGCTCGTTATTAGCATTCCAATCAAAGGGGGGATGAGAGGGAGGACCCGCCCCTTGAGTCCCCGACGCAGACGTGTGAGGGTTGGTCTGTTGAAGACAAACACCATTGCCCGAGAAAGAAGGCAGGCGCCCGCTAGGCATAGGCGGAGGATTTCTACCAGCCACTGATCTCTGAGCTTGGATTCCTTCGGGGGGAGGAGAAGATGTCGATTTGCTAGCCACCAAATTCCTGCAGTGTTGTGAATTGGGTTGCCTAGGCCGAGAACATGTATCTGCCGCAACCTGGGTGTACGAGCCCTGCTGATTGTCAGTGTAAGATTCCTCGCTGTTATACCTGTTGAGAGTATCGAATGTTAGTTGTGGGAATGCCGAAAAGATTGTTGGAGCTTGTACCTAGCGACATGGAGGAGGAGTCAGTGCTATAATTGGGGGGGGGAAGGCGAGCTAAGTATCTTTTTGGCCTCAATAAGTGGGATATTTTGTGCCGCTGAGAGAGTGAGTATTCTCCTCTGTTTTTCTAAAAGCGGGCATTTAGCGTCCACAGGCAGGTGCTCTCCAGAGCAATTAATACAGCAGGGAGTGCTGTCCTTGAGAGGACACGAGGTCTCATTATCGTGTGGTGAGTTGCCACAGTAGATGCAGCGGGGCTGGCTGCGGCAGGATGCACTGACATGACCCGTTCTGTAACACGAGTAGCAGACACGAGCTTTTGGTATGTATGGATGGACCTCGTGTCTGGACCAGAACAAAAACACGTGGGATGGGAGCGATTGCCCCGCAAATTTGACGCAGATGGTGCGGGAAGGCACGAATTGAGCTGAGCCATTAATAATGGATTTCCTATTCAAACGGTGCACGCTAATGATTCTGTGGTTCTGAAATGTAGATAGAGAGGCTTTAATTTCTTCTACGTCGAATTCCTGAGGAATGTCTCTAATGATTCCGGTTCTCAGCACCCTATAATTAGGGATGACCGCTTTAAGGTTATAATTCACTAAATCCGGGTTAGAAGCCAGCCTGTTTGCCGCCGCCGCCGTCCTGCATTCTACGAGGATTTTGCCAATGCCAAGACGCTTCATTTCAATTATATCCGTAGAG